CTACCAGTCTGGTCTAGACTCTAGACCGATCCCTACCTACCAGTCTGGTCTAGACTCTAGACCGATCCCGGCCTACGTTAGACCAAGCCAGGTCACACTCTAACATCCGGTCAACGCAGGTCATCCACCGGTCAAACCAAGTAACAGACAGGGACTTGCAGCTCTTCGCTCGGCGCGTCCTGCACAGCAGAATACCTACCTGGTCAACGCACAAGCGCGGTTCCCACTCCACAGCAGAACCCCAATTTGGTCAAACGGTCAAACAAACGGAACAGTGGCACTTACTTCCTGATTACTCTATGCGCGCGTTGAGATTTTAAACCCCTTTTTCCACTCACAAGCTTCGCTGCCTGGCCAAAAAAAAAGCACATACCTCTACCAACGTAGCTCCGCAACTGCTACTTCACAATTACCTGAATTTACCTCCTGCTGCTATCTTCTTTAACTTAAAAGTCTCTCGTAGCACAAGTAAGAAGGAGGGAGAGAGATTCTCAACGCCACTGTGACACAGTGAGAGCTGCGGCGATGGCGACGAGCATCGTGACGGCGACAAACGTGTGCGAGAAGGATGAAGACGACAACTCGCTTGGTGATGGCGATCCTCGCGATCACAGCGACCGACCATCATGATGGCGAAGGCGATGGCGATGGCGATGGCGAAGGCGATAGCGATGGCGATGGCGATCGTTGCAAGCAGTGGAAGAACAACATAGCTTCCTTCATCGCGACCCGTGCTTGCTAATTTGAAGTACACCTTTGCAAAGAAGATCATTGTCAAAGCTCTCTTTTCTCGTGCGGCCGCGGCAGTCGCGCCGCCGTACCCGTACTCAGCAGCATACTCACACTCGGCAGTTGTCCGAACGGATCAGGTGGCGCCAGATTCTTTATTCGTTGGACGAATGGAAGCACAAGTCAAGCCTCGTCGGATCCTCCTGAGTACATAGTTTTTATACAACCCACTCCCGCGCGCACCACACACGGTCGCACACCGTCGCCCGCAGCCGTTCGCGCACTGTCGCGCACGCGCCTTCCACCTCCTCTCCTGTGCAAAAGAGAAGAGATACGGCCAGCAGCGTAAGCGCTTTTCCGAGGTCGCGCACTTCCGAATCCAGCGGGGACTTTGACCGTGGTTGTGCGTTTGACCGTGGTGATTGTGTTTGGCCATGGTTCTGCGTTTAACCGTGGTTGTAGGTTTGACCGTGGTTGTGCGTTTTACTGTGAAATTAACCGTGGTTGCGTGTTTCACCGTGGTTGTGAGTTAGGACTGTGCGTTTAACCGTGGTTGTGCGTTTAACCGTGGTTGTGCGTTTAACCGTGGTTGTATGTTTGACCGTGGTGCGTTTGACCGTGGTTGTGCGTTTGACCGTGGACAAAACCCCAAGAGAGTCGGGGACACCTTGTTCAAGCTGAGTGAGTGCACAAAAGACAAGCACACCTTGCTCAAGCTGAGTGAGTGCACAAAAGACACGCGGACTTTCTCTCGTCCTTCTCCTCCTCCACTCTTCTCGGTCACGCTCCCTTTGTGGGGAAAGGGGTTCCCTGTCCCGACTCTTGGGGTCTTCCGGGGGGTACGAAGGCATCCCTCCCTGGGCCGAATTTCTCCTTCGAATAAGTCCCGACGATCTCCGTCTCCGCCAGGATGTGCCCTTCCATAGCCGCCTCGAGCTTGTCCTTGGAGACCTTGTTCCCTAGCTTGCCCATCATCTGGTCCAACGCATACACCCTAATTACGTACCTGTGCGTCCCATTCGGCGGCGGATTGGGCCCAATGTACCCTGGCACTTTGAAGTCGTTATGCCCCTCCTTGATCTCTTGGTACATCCCTTCGTTGAAGGCTTGCTTGCTGTTAAGGCCGCCAGGTAATTCCTTCAGCGCCGGCGGGATGTCGTAGACCACCCAATGTACCCACTCGGAGATCGGATCTCGCGGATCAGGAGCGTCCACGTCGACCATGATGACGGCCAAGCTCTCCGTGCCCTCGGGCAGATTGTGCCAAGCAATCGGCGGAGAGAGGTTCGTCTGCGGCGCGTGGCCGTCGCTGGTGAATTTGTGAGGTATCTTCCCGCCGTTTGTGAATGCCGTTGACGTCACGCGGAACTCCTCAGCCGGGGGCTCCTCATCGTCCGCAGGGGACGGCACCCGCCTTCCTCGTCCCATGAGGTTCTGCGCCATCGCGGACAAGAGGGAAAAAAAAAAAGGGAAAAGGAAAGGGAGGGCTGGAAATAGCGGCGGGCGGACAAGGAAAAAAAAAAAAAAAAAAAAAAGGAGGCAGGCAGGAAATAGCGGCAGGCTCCTTCTATCAAGGATGACGACCTCACACGCGCGGCTTTTTTTTTTTAACTCTTTCTTTTTTGCAGCAGAGTGCGCAGGCTCCGATGCTGCGAGAACAGAAAGAACGATTTCGACGAGAAATAGCATTGACGTCAACTTCACGGCCACGCGAATGACAGCGAGAGAAGGGGTGGTGGGAGAAAGGAAAGAGAGTATAAAGACGAAAAAGGAACCAAGAAAAACAAAAAAACAAAAAAGGAAAGGGAAGGACAGAGAAACGAAGCGCACTAACTAGACAGAGAGCCGCAGGTCACACTGAAAAAAAAAAAANAAAAAAAAAAAACAGAGCCGAGAAAAACGGAGAGAAACCTGAAAAAAACAAAAAAGAGGGGAAAAATACGAAAAAAAGATATGACCGAAACCACAGCAATTTTTTTTTTTAAAAGAACGGATATATGATCCAGAGCCGAGAAAAACGGAGAGAAACCGGAGAAAACAAAAAAAAACGAAAAGTCTGCGCTGGCGAGACGAGGATCCCAGGTCACCGAGTGACGTCAACTGATTGCTCTCTTCTTCAGGATGAAACCGGGGATGGCCAGGCGATTCCCAATTGACAATGTCAAATTCCCTCCCACACAACAACTATCAATTCATTAGTCTAAGAACTGCGTTGGCTTCATCAAGTCAAAAAGTTCGAATCCGTTGACTTCGTCAAGTCAAAGTTCAACCATTAGCTTTTCGACCTCCCAGATGTCCACGTGGCGAACCCGGGAGCGGCCAAGCCTTGTGCTGGCCATCCCTCCCACCCACCCAGGCGACGTGACGGTCCCGACAACACGCCTGTGAATTGAGGTCCGACCAGGAAATAATCAATTCAACTTTCAAGTAATCACCGAACTCTTTAGTACCTGCAAACGGAAGCACAAAAAGACGTTCGCTAATTAGTGGCTAATTACTAATCACCCCCACCTCTAATCAGTTCGGAGCCGCTTTTCAACTGACAAGCGTCGACCGTTCACCCACCACCCCCATGTCTCTACGTCTTCTCTTCATTTCTCTCTTCCTGCGTATACGTAAGTTCTAAACTAACTCTCTCTCTCTCTCTCTCTCTCTCTCTCTCTCTCTCTCCATCAACCCTTCACCACCGCTGTCATCTCTCTACGTTTCCTCTCTGTCTCTCTTTTCCTGCGTGTACTTTCTCTCTCTCTCTCTCCCTCTCTCTCTCTCTCTCTCTCTCTCTTCTTTTTGCCGCGTAAGCAACTGCCACACCTTCCCTACGATTCTATCGTGGCATCTTTTCTTTTATATCTTCCATCGTTATTGTGGACTGCTTGCGTGCGTAATAAGTTCATTGCTCAGAAAGTCAGAAGGAAAAAGAGAAGAATCCGTTTCCCGCCTGCACTTGGCAAACGGCAGTTTCCAGGGGGAAAATGAACTGAGAGTGTAAAAAGAGACACTCACCGCCGATCTTCATGATCTAAGTTCGTTGGCCATCGCTCCACTACTCTTCGACATGTACAAAAGACAAAACAAAAATCATGGCCGCGGTGTATCTTTCCATGTTCTACCGGACGATCCACTCTCGTTTTGCAAATTTCTAGAGTAGTGGAGCGAGGCCCATTATCTCACTCATACATAATCCGTCCTCGAGGAATCTCGGCCGCCCACAGGGCCTCGCTGCACGGCACACGAAACGAAAAACGAAACGAATGTATCTTCCCCAAGAACATGCCCAGGTTCATCGGTTTGCTATAAATAGTAACGAGTGTACTTTGCCACCTTTGGTCGGCAGATGCACTTGTTTCGTTTCCGTTTCGTGTGCCGTGCGGCGAAACCCTAGATGCACTCTGACATAGATTTTCGGCAGACATGTGGGAACGCAAGTGGCTTCTTTCTTGTCCTGCCCTTTTTGTTTTTCACCCCATCTGATTTCGGTCGTTAGGATTAGAGGGCTCATGATTTACCCTTCGGCCACAGTGTCGCCACACTACATTGGCTGGCCGAAGAGGTTGACTTTTTTCCCCCTTTTTCACGCTGGGAGGCTAAGGTTGACTTTTTTTCCCTTTTTCACGCTGGGAGGCTAAGGTTGACTTTTTGTTCCCTTTTTCACGCTGGGAGGCTAAGGTTGACTTTTTTACCCCTTTTTCACGATGGGAGGCTAAGGTTGACTCTTTCCCCTTTTTCACACTGGGAGGCTAAGGTTGACTTTTTTCCCCTTTTTCACGTTGGGAGGCTAAGGTTGACTTTTTTGCCCCTTTTTCACGCTGGGAGGCTAAGGTTGACTTTTCCCCCCTTTTTTCATGCTGGGAGGCTAAGGTTGACTTTTCCCCCCTTTTTTCACGCTGGGAGGCTAAGTCGTAAAAGTAACATATACAGCATGATTGTTCGGAGGCGCGCCGAGGTAGGTTGGGAGGGAGTCCCATAGGATTAGGGGGGCCACTACCACATGGTTGAGTGCCGAAGGTGACTCTCATATGTCTATAATCCAGCCTCTACAACAACCTAGGCTTGAAAAAACAAAAAACAAAACAAAACAAAAAAAAGGCACGTAAAAAACGAGCAATATAACTTGGGGGGGCGGGGGCAGGAATGGGTTCACCTATGGCTAGGGGACTTGTAGAAGAACGTCTAATATGCCTGGCGCTGGAAGTCCACCGTCCACGTACAAAAAAAAAAAAAACAAAACAAAAAAAAGGCACGTAAAAAACGAGCAATATAACTTGGGGGGGCGGGGGCAGGAATGGGTTCACCTATGGCTATGGGACTTGTAGAAGAACGTCTAATATGCCTGGTGCTCGAAGTCCACGTACAACAGGGCTTGTCGGACTATGCTTCAATCAGGGCTGAGGGAGGTAGGTCCTGCCCTGATGCCTACAACCACTGTCCAGTCAGATCCACCCCGACGACCCCATTGTGATGACAGGAGGGTGATGATCCTGAGTGGCAAACACTGAGGCAGGATCGTGGGAGTAGAGGTGCGCCAGGGACAAATAATGGGTGGGATTCGAAGGGAGTCTCATAGAGACCTCCATTGATCATATGGATAATCAAATGGCCGACTACTTACGGGACTGTCATATGCCTAGCATCCAGCATCTACAACAAATTGGACTTTTTAGGCAAAAAAAAAAAAAAAAAAAAA